ATGATATATTTAATGGAATTTAATTCAAGGAGGCAGCCTGGTATAGTGGAAAGAGCCCTGGACTTGGAGTCAAGAGAAAGTGCTGTCCAGTCCAGCTCTGCCATTGACTAGTTAGGTCTCCTTGAGCATGTCTCTTTTGATCCCAGATTCGAGTTTTGACACCAAGTATAAAATGAAGAAGATGAGCTAGGTTGTCTCAAAGACCCCATCCAATTCTGACCTTCTCTCTTCTCACTCCCGTGCCAACTCTGACGATGTATGGTATCTTTTCCCCCTAGGAAATCCATGAATTCAACTGCACTAAAGAAGAGTTACTAAAATACTAAAATGAACTCAGGAAGGTTTTCAGCTATGAGGCAGGGGGCACGATGGGAGTAGGGGAAAATATTAGAAGTGGCTTTGGTGGAGGCAGCAAGCTGTAGTGGAGAACGAGCTAGCCCTGGGGCCAAGAAGACTTGGGCTGAGTCCTATTTTTGCCATATCTTGGCTGTAAGTGTGATGCCAGGCGAGATGCTTAACTTCTTGGTGGTCTAGGCAATTTTCTTGCAGAGAAGATGCTAACCTGCACTGGTAGAGAAAACTTCTACACCAATTCCAGTCCCTATGCCTCTAAGAGGGGAAGGGAATTGTGCTATATTTGACAGCACTGACTCTTACCTCTTCATGGAAATCAACGTTAACATCTTATCAGCAAAGACCCTCTCTGTAGCCTAAACTCCAAGGCTAACAGTAAGTTATTCCTCTCTGACCTTGAGTCTTCTGGTCTGCAAAATGGACATAATAATACTTGTTCTCCCCTCCTGGGGTTGCTGTAAGGAAGGTGATTCCAAGCTTTAAAGCTTGCCATAGAAATGTAAACTTTTATTTCTAGAGAGAAAGATGTGATTTGCCTAAGGACATAACTGTAAGGGCCATGTGACCCAACTTCTTTATTTTACAGATGAAATTTAAAGCACTAGTCCAGTTACCCACCTAGTTAATTGAATAGCCAGTATTCACTTACTACTTGTCCAGGCCTGTGTTGGGTTGTTTTTTGGGGGGAAGGGGAGGGTGGGGGCGGGAGGAGAGACATTGAGATGACTAGGGAAGGGGGATAGAATGCTTCAATAGTTGTCTCTGGTGTAACATCTTGGTGACCTTGGATTCTCAAAGGTTATCCCAGCAGAGCCCTAGGTATGGCAGATGTTGCTAGTACTGAAAAGATTATGGTCCTGATACTAGGTTGTGGCCCTCGGAGGACCAATTCAGCCCAGGTTCATCACTGCAAGACTGACCAACAGATGATGATTTCTTTCTTTCTTTTTTTTGTGTGTGTGTGTGAGGTAATTGGGGTTAAATGACTTGCCCAGGGTCACACAGCTACTAAGTGTCAAGTGTCTGGTCTGAGACCACATTTGAACTCAGGTCCTCCTGACTCCAGGGCCAGCATTCTATCCACTGCGCCACCTAGCTGCCCCTGATGATTTCTTTCAAACGTGACCCACAAGGACTGAGACAGGAATCTCACCTCAATCTCTTGACATAGAGCCCTGTGTCTTTTCCACGGTTTCTGGATGCCTCTCTTTATAAGATGCCATGACTTTTTTTCAGGGGTATGGAGGCAAGGCTAAGATGAATCTTTTCATCTGGTTTGGAGAATCTGTACTTCTCAAACTATCACCTCTTTCTGTTTGTGTGTTTATTTGTTTGTTTTTATTATCAGAGCCATTACTGCCTTTTGGGGAAGTCCCTTTTGGGTGACAACCATGTATTTGCTGGTGTCTAGAGTGTGGTGCAATTACTAGTAGATAGTAATAAAAATAACTAATATTTCTGTACTACACAACTTACAGAGACTTTTCTGAGAGAAATCTCTGTGAAATGGGTAGTGTATTATTATCTCCATTTTTACAGATAAGGAAAGTGTTCTCAGAGAAGGGGGGTGTCATCCTTAAAAGGCAACCCAGACGTCATCTGCCCCATGATGCCTTCCCCTACTCCCACCCCCCACCACCAGGTGACAGGGACTTCTCATCTCAGACATTTTAACCCTTTCCCTGGACCTCCCCTTTCCTTAAATTTATTCCTCCCTTGTCTCAAAGTTGGTGTTTTTCATCCATGTCTTTCCCATAGTTGGACTGTAAGCATAGGAAATCACAGATTTGGAAGACACAGGTGAGGCCATGTAATCCAACTGGTAGCTAAATGCTTGCTGGTTAGAATTGAATTAAGTTGGCTAAGGTCACACAGACCTTAAATGCTGGAGCCCCAGACGTCAAACCTGAGGTCAAAGCACAAGAGCATCAGATTCAGAGCAAGTTTTTCTCCCTATTAGAATATAGGCTCCAGAAGAACAGAGACTGGTCTCTTTTGTCTTATATCTCCAGAGCCTGGCACAGCACTTGGCCCACAGGTAGTTGCCTAAGAAATTGCTTGTCTTTACAATTCATTCATTTCAATCATGTCTGACTCTTTGTGACCCCATTTGAGGTTTTCTTGGCAGAGATATTGGAGTGGTTTGCTATTTCCTTCTCCAGCTCATTTTACAGATGAGGAAACTGAGGTAAAGAGTTAAGTGACTTGTCCAGGGTCACATGGCTAGTAAGTATCTGAGGTCGGATTTGAACTCATGAAGATGAGTCTTTCAAGCCCTGGTGCTCTATCCACAGAGTCACCTTGATAATACTTGTAAAGAACTTTTAAAAGTGCTTCTCCAGACCTTGTCCCATGTAATTCTCCTTATCAGCACCCTTCAAGTCAGGCAGGAGAGAGATTATTAATGTCATTTAACAGATTAACTCAGAAAATACAAGTGATTTACCTAAGATTCCTATGATTTTTTTTTTTTTTTAGAGCAAGAAGATATCTTACAGGTAATCCCATCTAACCTCTTTCTTCCTACCTCCACTTTTTAGAGGTGAAGTGACTGGTGCAGTGTTGCACAAGAAGTAAACAGCAGAGCTAAAATTGGAAACCAGGACTACTGACACACAGAAGGAACTTGACAAATGTGCATTAAATTGTACAGTGTTCTGTTGTGGTATGTTGGGACTCCATTTGGAGACGGCACTGGGCCAACCAGAAGCCCCTTGTCGTG